CTTTCCTGCTTCTCTGATGCTGCCTGGCCTGCTGTGTTCCTCCAGCTCCACACTGTGTTAACAATGCATTACTTTGATTCACATTGCTCTGCAGTTCAAGGATGCTGGACACATGCCAGACCCTCATCCACATGCCCAGTTCACTGGCTCTGAGACAGCACTGAGTGTTAACAGATATTCTCCACAACACCCAAACCTAGACCTATAGTCACTTGATACCCTACTGTCCAGCAATATTAAAACACGTTGTGCTAATGACCACTACTATCCCAGCTACGCAACAATAATCAAAGATTAAAGCGAAGATTCCCCAGGATAGCAAGATACTAGTAAGCTTAGAGGAACAAAAGGATCTTGGGGTGCTTCTCCACAGATACCCGAAGGTGGCAGGACAGCTTAACAGGGTATTTGGGAAGGCACACATAACCCTTGCCTTTATCAGTCGGCATAGATTATACAAGCAGAGTGGTCATGTTGGAGCTATCCAGAACTTTGGTTAGGCCACAGCAGGCATCGTAGAATCCCTACAGTGCGGAAAGAGGCCATTTAGCTCACTGAGTCTGCACTGACCCTCCAAAGAGCATCCCACACAGACTGAGGCCCCTACCGTGTCCCCATAACATCACATTTCCCACGGCTAATCGACCTAGCCTATACATTCCTGGACACTACGGACAATCTTTGCTTGGCCAATCCACCCAACCTGCACATCTTTGGACTGTGGGAGGAAACTGGAACATTTGGCAGAAACCCACACAGACATGGGGAGAACGTGCAAGCTCCATACAGTCACCCAAGGCTGGAATTGAACCCTAGTGCTGTGAGGCAGCAGTGCTAACTACTGTGCTGCAGTTTTGTGCAGCCATCCCAGCAGTTTGCACCTGTTTGATCAGTGATCAATGACGCACAGCGCAGTTGCAAAGGTGCAAAATCATTCAATACGTACAAGACTGTTAGTACCATTCAGTTATGCTTAGCTGAATTCAGAAACAGCACCTCTTGAACCAAAGCATGTGAATACTCACTTGCTTTATATTTTTATTCCTATAAATTCAGAATAGCCATCTGAATAGTATTTTGTTTCTACCAACATAAAGTTACTTGTGTTGATTTCTTAAGTTAATTGTAGGCAGCAAGTTCACTGAAAATGTCTCCATTACTTCTTCATTATGCTTTTCATATTCACTGATTTTGGTACTGGGTGGGCCACAATTCTTACTGTGAAAGGATTTCAGCTCCTGACAGAAAGCCTCTATTATTTTCCTTTGATGAATGCATTATTCAATCCAGCAAACCCTTCTGTGTTGTCCACTGTTCAACAGCTAGGTCTGCATTGCAGACACTCAGCAATTGTACATGGAATGGTATGTTTACTCAGCTGGTGTACTCAAACCTCACTGTATCCTGCAATGGGTTAAGTCCAAAAAGTCCCAAAAGTCTTTTGAAGGGATTCAATTAGAGCGCACGGATTAGACCGAGGGCACCGTACAGTCTCGCAACCTGATGGTCAATTCACAGGAACAGTTATAAATCACAGGTTTTTGTCTTTAAACAATCACCAACTTTAACTTGAAATGAGACAGGCATTCCAAAATTTTATGCCTAGAAAATTGAAAATGCAGCCACTACTGGAGTGGCAATTAAAAGAAAAGTCAGAATACAAAATATACTGGAACTGGAAATTGGCAGGGATTTTTCAGAGTTACAGACAGTGCTCTCTCTGAGCTGTGCAAACTCGTAGCAAGCCAGGAATTTCTATGCATGCCACATACAAATCAGCACATTTCTGTTCCCAGACATACAGGCCACGTCAAAAAATTTGAAGGGTTCACATAGTTAAGTGAATTGGCTGCACATCGCAAAAGAAATTGAGAGTACAGAGGTGGTAAAGCCAAGGGTTTGCAGCGACGGGGTTATGGGAAGATTTGAAACTATGGAGGAAATTTTAAAATTGAGGTGTGGGTGATGAGTGAACAGGACTTGCTGCAACTTAGGATACAAGCAGCAGGTAAGTTTAATGAAGCTGCAAGACTGGGCGGGAGTAGTAGAGTCTAGAGAAAAACGAAGGCAGAAATAGGTGGGCTTAGAGATTCTTAGATGATGCAACAGAGAAGGCTGTCATTTGGCAGCCTACAAGATCTGGCTTTTTAAGCTACCAAATCAATCCCAACACCATGCTCTTTTCCCCACGGACCTGTAAATATTTCCCTTCATGTCTTCACCCAATTCCCTTTTGAATGTTACTAATGAATCTTCTTTCTGCATTTCTTCAGACATACATTCCAAATCACAACAATTCACTGAACAAAACAAATGATTACTTGTGTCGTGTCTATGTCTTTTGTCAATGGACACATTAGAGAGAGGGAAGCTCAGTGTCAAGTGCCAAAGCTGTGAACAGTCAGATGGTGGTCAGGAATGGAAGGAACAGTTGACTATGGAAAAGAGCTCAAGGTGGACACAAAATACAATAAGTTCAAACTTCCCAATATTCAACAAGTCTCAGCCACAATCAGATCGTAAGAGACCTCTAAAGGACAGGGAACACAACCTTTGATTAAGTATCAAGGGTTACCGACTAAAAGCTTAATTTTTAAGAGTGCAGCAACTTGAAAGCAGAGGGTATGGCAGACTTGGTATGTGGCTGGATACTTCAACAGTTAAATTTCTCATCAAACCGCCAGGAACAAAAATCTCACCTGTCAAAGAGGACGGAAACCCGCTCCATTGCCACAATAACGGACTCGTTGTCTGGCACTGTGCTATCGGTTTCTGAACTCTGACTCGGGCTGTTCTTTTCTTTGCCTGTTCACAACACAAACAGTTGAGAGACTGAAATTACATACATGTCTTTTTCTTTAAAAAAAAGGAAACTTGCACCGCTGACTCACTCTATATATGGAATTTTATTTTGTTTATTTAAGAAAGAAAACGATCAAAACAATTGTTTTATTTACTTCCGAGCTAAGCGAACCAGGCTGCTGATTACCCATCCTTAGTTTCTGAACCTTCCATTGAGTGACTTTTTTTTTTTTTTAAGATTGTACTTGCTGCCATCACCTACTTAGTCACAATACTTGTAATATTGTTAGTGATGCCACAGGTAGATGCCTGCATCAAAGATTAGGCTAGGCATTATATTGTCAAAATAGCTTTGAATTAGACAAACTGGAGAACCAATAAAACTTGTTATTTTTCAAATACCTCTCTAGTTTCAAATGTTTCAGTTGTTTTTACAGACTCAAGTGGGACAGGGTGCTTAGCACTAGTAAAGAGCAAAGTAGGCTGCAACCAGAGCACAAGGTGGGGGATGAGGTTTCCGGTGAGCTGAGAGCCAGAGTGAGTGTCACGATGCAGTGCCACTGTTGCCCTGCACAAGGAGATACTCCATTGTTTTAATGAATTCTAGGAGTACAATGAGTCAGCAACAGATTATGGGACTGGAGTCTCATGCTTACAACGCTTGGGAGGTGGGGGGGGTGGGTGTGTGTTCCCTTTTCAGATCGATCTATACAACATTCTGGCCATAAAATATTCTACAATATTCTAAAATATAGAGGTGGCTAATCAGTACATTGTGCATATTCTGAAGAGGAGCCCCACTGGACTTAGTTCCTCTAGCAGTGCAAGATTAAAAAAAAAACACATTCAAGTATTTATCCAATTCCCTTATGAAAGTCACTACTGAATCTGTTTTCACCACTTTTTCCAGCAGTGCTCCAGATCAGAGTAACTGCAAATTTTCCTCCCTCTTTCTCCTGGATTTTTTTTGCCAATTATCTTAAATCAACATCTTCTGATCAAGGGTATCTTGTCAGAGAGGAGCATTGATATCCACTCCATCAAAATCCATCATTATTTTCAACGTCGTTTAGATCTCCGTCAACCTTCTTTGCCAAATAGAACAATTCTAGATGTTTTGGATTCTAGGATTTAATTTGACAATCTCTTAACCATTACTATAACCACAACCTCAGTGCATCCAAGTATACATCAAGAATAGAAATTGCCTTTCTCCTCACAAATAAACAAAATACATTGCTTCTTCAAGATGTTGACAGCTTCAAAATAAGCCTTTCTTCATTCACAACTATTGATCAGGCAAGTAGAGATGAACGGTCCTGTGTTACCTCCACACATCAACACAGTACCTGTATACATGCAGGTCAGCATCAGTCCTAGGGCAGCCATGGCTCGATGAGGGCTGTGCATGTTCAATCTATCCACACTGAGCTTCACCAAGGCCTCTCCATCCAAACGTGAAAGCTGCTCTGAGAGAAGAAGTCTTTCCATCCCACGCAAGACACAGTGGTAGATTATGGAAGGTGTGGATTCCTCACTGCCAGAAACCATTACTCCGCACATCTAAACATCAGGAGGAGCAGCTTTAAACATGGAAACTGCATACCTCAGATGAACATACAAGTTAGAAGTAGGAGCAGCAGCTTGAGCAAGCTCCAACGTTCCTTCAGATTGTTCAGTTAATCTGATTACTCCACATTCCAGCTACTCTCAATAACTTTTCATCCCCTTACTTACCAAGAAGGTATCTCCCTCTGCTTTAGAGTCAAGGACTCTGCATCCACTTCCTTTTATATAACACAACAATGACACAGGATATTCTCAACTGGTGACAGAGACAACAGCATCATATGAAGGTGTTTGCTGCACTGCGTCTTTGAGAAATTTGGAGATTTTTTTTTTTTTTAGGAGGGAGGCCAAGTATCCTTGCAATTAATCGTTAATAAAAATATTACAATGCCTAGTTATAATTTAGTTATTTCACTGTACATCAGTTTAGTTCAGAAGATTGTACTACACTCTCAGAAGTGTTTGCATTCAAACTCCACTCCAGGGATATTGCATGTAAGACACGGAAGCCATGACCCAGTTGATCCAATTGTTTTCATTACTCACTGTCTGATTGAGCTCAGGGATTCAGGAAGATTAGGTTACAAAATTTTAAAACTGTCATTATTATTCACGAAGAGAGGGATACAAACCCACATTTAGTTTTAATATGCAATCGAATGATGGACTTGAATACTTTGCTATAAATGTGGTTTAATTAGATAAATATAGGAACAGTGGGTTACATGCAACTGTTATGCAGTAGGTCCATCACATTGTCCTGTTTCAATATGTCCCTCTGCAGCCCAACTTCAGACCAAGATTAAAATTTTAAGCTACAACCCAATACTTTTGTAGTACTCAGGGGGTACCCAATGATTTCCCAGAAACTCAAATCTTAGTTTCATAGATAAGCAAACATTTACATCCACTCCATAGCATAGTAAACAGGTCATTTGGCCCAACTAGTCAATGCCGGTGTTTATGTTCTAAGTGAGCTTCTTCTCAGTTTTATTCATCTCATCCTGTACGCATACGGGCTTAAGACTTTTCTGTCTCATACATTTATTGAGCTTCCTCTTAAATGTTATTTGCCTCAAGCAATCCTTATGGCAGCCAAGTTCTACAGTCTTACCAGAAAGGTTCTTCCTGACTAGTTTATGTTTATGACACCAAGCCTTTATTTTCCCCAAATATAGATGCATTTTGTTTTTACACCCACTCTTAATGTTACCTTCAAGACCTCTACCATACTATCTCTCAGCCTTCTTCTTTGCAAGTGTGATGAAAGGTGTGTGATTTATATAACTTTTCTAATGCTTGGATTTCACACTAGTGAAATGGGTTGTTGTTTACTTCGAAGCTTTACAAAAAAAAAGAAAAAAAAATATCACATAGTCCTTTCTGGAACAACGATCTAATCCAGTATTGTCAGAGAGCAGGCAATTACAAACCTTCTTTCCTTCACTCACTCATGAGATGTAGGCAATGCTGGCTGGGCCAGCATTTATTGCCATGCTTAGTTGCCCTCGAGAAGTTCATGGTGAGCTGTCTTCTTCAACCACTGCCCTTGTGCTGTAGGTAGACCTACAATGCCCTTAAGGAGGGAATTACAGGATTTGATCCAGTAACACTGACGGAATAGCAATATATTTCCAAGTCAGGATGGCGAGTGACTTGGAGGGGAAAGTGCAGGTGGTGATGTTCCCATGTATCCACTGCCCTTGCCCTACTGGATAAAATTGGTTATGGGTTTCAAAGGTGCTGTGTAATTTCTGCAGTGCATCTTATGGTTATTACAAACAGCTACTACTGAGCAGGTGAGAAGGGAGTGAATGCTTGTGGCCGTGGTGTCAACCAAGCAGGCTGTTTTGTCATGGATAGTGTCAAGCTTCAAGTGTTGTTGGAGCTGCACTCATCCAGGCAAGTGGGGAGTATTCCATCACTTGAGGTAGTTGACTTGCTCACCGAGCTGGCTTGTTCTCATTCAGATGTTTCGTCACCGTGCAAGGTGACATCATCAGTGGAGCCTCCGACGAAGTGATGTTATTCTACTCCGCTGGGAATTTATACTGTCCGGTCCGTTATGGAGAGTACTGTCATTTCCGGTTTTGATCTGTATGGGGTCCAATTCTATGTGTTTGTTGATTGCATTACGGCTGGAGAGCCATGCGTGTCTACATTTGGTTTGGGCTACTATAATAGTTACCTTGTCCCTGTTAAACTGATGGCCTTCATTGTCTGAGTGTACCGATATGAAGGAGAGTTCATCATGCCGTTTTGCTGCTAGTTGATGTTCGTATATTCTGATGGCTAGTTTCCTACCTATCTGTCCGATGTAATGTTTGTGGCAGTTGTTGCATGGTATTTTGTAAACCATGTTGGTTCTGCATATTGTGGGAATGGGGTCTTGTTAGTGTTTTTCGTAGAGAGGCTGTGGGCTTGTGGGCTACCATGATCCTAGTGGTCGTAGGAGTCTTGTGGTCAGTTTCGATATGTTCTTGATGCAGGGCAGTGTGGCTGGTGTGTTAGGGCGTAACAGACAACAGGAGGACACAGTACACCCTAACACACCGGCCACACTGCCCTACATCAATAACATATCAGAACTGACAACAATACTCCTAAGACCACTAGAAATCATGGTGGCCCACAAGTCCACTGCCACTCTACGACAAACACACACAAGGATTAAAGACCCCATTGCCACAACATGCAGAACCAACGTGGTTTACAAAATACCATGCAACAACTGCCACAAACATTACATTGGACAGACAGGAAGGAAACTAGCCATCAGAATACACGAACCTCAACTAGCAGCAAAACAGCACGACAAACTCTTTCATATCGGTAAGCTCAGACAACGAAGGCCATCAGTTCAACTGGGACAAGGTAACCATAATAGCCCAAGCCAAACATAGACACGCACGGGAATTCCTACAGGCATGGTTCTCCACCCGTAATGCAATCAACAAACGTAGAATTGGAGTCCATACACAAACCCATATAGATCAAAACCAGAAATGATAATACTCACCCTCACCCTAAACAGACCAGACAGTATAAATTCCAAGTGGAGTAGAATAACATCGCTTCATCAGAAGCTCCACTGATGATGATGTCACCTAGCATAGTGATGAAACGTCTGAATGAGAACAAGCCAGCTCAGTGAGTAAATCAACAACCTCACCCACAACCCAAGCTACAGATCTTCACCTTCACCAAAGCTTTAAATTATTCCATCACTCTCCTGACTTGCACCTTGTAGATGGTGAACAGGCTTTGGGGAGTAAGGAGGGGAGGCAACGGCTCTGTGATATTTTCATTGGACTGTTAATCCAGAGACCCACGTAATGTTCTGGGGACGGGGTTCAAACCCTGCCACAACAGATAGTGGAATTTGAATTCAATAAAAAAATCTGGAATTAAGTGTCTAATGATGACCATGAAACCATTGCTGATTATCAGGAAAATCTCATCTGGCTCACATGTGAACTGCCATCCTTGGCTAGTCTGGCCAACACGTGACTCCAGACCCACAGCAATGTGGCTGACTCATAACTGTCCTCTTTGGCAATAAATACTGGCCTGGCTGCCAATACCCTCATCCTGTGAATGAAAAAAAAAATGGCATGTTACTCACTACAGTATTCTTAGCCGCTGATCTTGCCATTGTATTTTGTACAGTGATTCCACTTCAGTTTCTGGTCAATGACAACCTCTCCAACCCCCATAATATTGATAGTGGAGGATTCAGTGATAATAAGGGGCAGTGGTTAGACTATCTTTTACTTGAGAAGGTCATTGCCTGACGTTTGTGTGGCATGAATATAAGATTCTGCTTTTCAGCCCAAGCTTGGATATTGTCCAGGTTTTGTTACATTTCGACATGGATGACTTCCATATTTGTGGGGTTGCAAATGGTGAACGTTGTGCAATCATTCCTACTTCTGACCTTATGATGGACAGAAAGTCATTGATGAAGCAGGTGAAGATGACTGGGCTTAGGACATTGCCACGAGGAACTCCTGCAGAGATGTCCTGGAGCTGAGATGACTGACCTCCAACAAACACAACCATCTTAGTATGTGTCAGGTATGACTCCAGCCATTGGAGAGTTTGCTCCCTGATACCCATTGATTCCAGTTTTGCTAGGGCTCCTTGATGTCACACCCAGTCAAATGCGGTCTTTATATCAACGGCTGTCACTCTCACTTCACCTCTGGAATTCAGCTCTATTGTCATGGTCTGAGCCAAGACATTAATGAGGTCAGAAGCTAAATGGCCTTGGTGGAATCCAAACTAGGTGTCGGTCAGCAGGTTATCACCGAGCAAGTACTACTTGTTTGCACTATTGATGACATGTTCTATCACTTTACTGACGATCAAGAGTAGACTGATGGGGCAGTAATTGGCTGAGTTGGATTCATTCTATTCACTGTGTTCAGCACATACCTGGGCAATTTTCCAGAATGTTGGGTGAATGCCTGTATTCTAGTTGTAACAGAACAACTTAGCCAAGGGTATCGCAAGTTCTACCTCAAACTTCTTGCGGTTTTAGAAGAAGATTTTTTGTTCATACTGTGGGGCTTGCAACAGTCAGTAAATAATGAAAGGCATCAGCTTGATTTTGGTTTAGAAATCAGACATTGAAAGCTTTTCGGGTGATTTCGAAGGAGATCAGATTGGATTCAATTCAAATTTAGATTATTGCCAAAGGAGTAGAAAGGACATTTTAAGAAAAGCTGAG